AGTAATGATGATGGAAATTCAGCTTTGCATCACAGAAATAAATTACATTTTAAAGGATATTAAAATAGAAACCATTATTTTAGTAAGTAATAACATTTTGCAAGATTACTGTTTTTTTCTGTATTTTTGATCAAATAAATGCAGCCTTGATGAGCAGAAGAGACTTCTTTAAAAAACATTACACGTCTTACTGATCCCAAACTTTTGACCAGTAGTGTATATATATATACACACTGTTAAAGCCATCTTAATTTTACCTTAATTGTCTTTTTGAATTGAGTAGAATATGTAAAATTTTAGAGATTGTGATTGCCATATACATTTTTGTCCTTGAGCTGAATACCTACCTCTAGTGTTGCATACCGGTCACTGTATGTAAATAATACCTGTAGGGTCCTGCTTAAAGGGATGTATTAGTCAGCCTAAGATGCCTGTCAGTTAATACAAATAATTGTCCAACCGCATGGCTGTAGGTTGCTTTGTGAGAGTGGAAACTCTAAATAGAAATAAATGGATTATACTTACCTGAAGCGTGTTGACGGGATGGATACTGACTGGCACACACACACACATATATAATATACTGTATATATATGTGTGTGTGTGTATATATATACTGTATATATTTCTCTCTCACTATGTGTATGTGTATATTCTCTTGTAAAATACATTCCCTCATGAGGTAGCTTTAATGTGGCTGTGTTTTGTCATTATCTTGTAGTTTAGCTCACTACTTTTTCAAAAGAGCGTTGAAATGCTCTGAAACTAAATCCTGTCAAGCTGCTCATAATTTTGACATAACTTCACCAACATTGACTAAAATGGTCGGCATTAATGCAGAGTCACGCAGCTGTGTTGCTGTCAGAGTGCTGAGAGTGTTTGTGTTTGTTTGTTCTGTCTGTGATTGACAGCTGGATGGTAATGGAGACGGGGAGCCAGGCGTGCTCATGACAGCTCAAACCATCACCTCCGAATCGCTCTCCACCACCACCACCACACACATCACGAAGGTAACACACACACACATCACGAAGGTAACACACACACACACATCACACACACATCACGAAGGTAACACACAAATAAAAAAAAACAACATCAAATCAAAACCCTATTTACACTGAAAATGTTTGGTGTAGGATTTACTTTAAAAACTTGAATTTTCACTCAGAAATTGCACGTAAATTATTTGATAGAAAGACTGAAATAGTATTTTAATGCAAAAACCTACACCAACATATTTTTTAAACTTGCAAATAAAGCGCGGTCCTGTACCTCTGTTCAGTGCAGTTCACATCATGTCTGTGTCTCTAATGATTGACAGACACTAAAGGGCGGGCTGTCAGAAACTCGCATTGAGAAGCGCATCGTCATCACGGGAGACTCTGACATTGATCACGATCAGGTGAGATGCACACACACACACACAACGTCGTCTGTGTACATATATAAAGCCAGATGCACACTCTTTGATTTTTGCCTGAGTCTATTTTTAGACATTGTAGCAGGTTTCTTTGGTCTGATCGCTCAGAGTGACACATCAGTAAACGTTTCCACTGGTGTGTCTGTAGGATCTGCCGCGTGTCTCATTATTTAGCGCTCCCTTCAACATGGTCTTCTCAGGGTTTGTTGTGAAGAGCTAACAGTCAACAAAGTCCCTCTTTTGCCCAGATGCTTCTGACTTTATTTAATATATCTACACATTTGCTTAAACTTGATTTGGTTTGTGTGGCATCAGTGAGGATGTCAGGACATGAACTGATTAGTCCGTAATAAAGTAAATCTATTTAACAGCAGCATTCAAGAAAGAAATTGAATAATCAAATGTAAAAACAAAACACTGTAGTCTTCATTGTATAAATTAAATATACAATGATTTTAATTGAATCTACTAAAGTTGTAAGAGATACTAAAGCAGTGAGTGTGTTTTTATTCTTCACATTAACAATACAGACAGCAGCAGGTTTATTAGGCTGCTGTCACTTTAAGACCGAATGCACTGATCCAGTATATTCACACACATCTGATTTTCTTTATTTATTTATTTCCACTTAAGACAGAGAAACTGTGTTTGTATGTGAACTTTGAGTTTTTGACCGTTTAAGCGCAATATTACACGAAAGAAAACTCACATGCTATGTTAGTAAAATAGTTTGAAAGTTTAAACTGGCAAAGCTTTAAAAAATGCAATAAACTTTTGTGATAACTAAAGTCACTCAGTCTCTCAGTAAAGGCAGATTGTGAAGACTTTTTAATCATTCACAATCTAATATCATCATATTGCTCTACATACAGTCTGACCTAAAATACGGCTGATTTCTTGCAGTTTTTCTGAGCGTTTGAGTATCTCAATGGGTTGATATTGTACGAGCAGAAGTGGTAAAGTTGAGACAGTCACACACAGTGCAGCTGTGATTGTAGTGTGAAGGAGCTCATGATCCTCAGACGCATGACGACAGGCGCTCGTTTTAGCCGTGAGGTGTTTCTGTCCGTCTGTGTCGTATGACGCACGCAGCTTCTGATTGGTCGAGAGCGTGCACACAGGTTACCATAGCGATGTGACATTTGCCATCCTCTCAGACTGAGAGCTGTTCACGCAGGTCCCAGCATCAGTTGTTCACATGCATGTATGTTTCCCATCATCCGTTTGCGTTCAGTTGCTTGTGTTTTCATTCTTGTGTTGGGTTGTTCATTTTTTTCCTTTAAATCTTTTGTTTGCTTTTGTTTGTTTGTGTTGGTTTACTGTGGGCGGGATCAGGCATTGGCCCAGGCTATAAAGGAGGCCAAAGAGCAGCACCCTGACATGTCCGTCACTCGTGTGGTGGTCCACAAAGAGACGGAGCTCGCCGAGGACGAGGACTGAAGGACAGGTAAGCGCATGGCAAAAAGCTCCACTCTTGACGACCTGCTCCGGCCCAGCTCCTCCTCCTCCACTGGGAGCCTGTCGTTTCTCCCCTTTTGTTTGTTCTTTTACTTGTATTCATCTATCCTTTTGTGTTTGTCTCTTTCTTTTCTCTGTGCTGGGTCTGCTCAGTGTGTTTCTCATGTTAAAGCAGTGCGGATTCACACTCATTTGTGACTCTTGAATTTGTGCTGAACTGGACTCTTATTTTAGGGGATCCTCATGCACCCTTGAATGAAATGTATGATCTCAACATGGAGAAAAAAAAAAGAAAACATTAGTATTATCATATGATTGTTAAATCCCTAACTTTCATTATCCTTGCAATATAAAACACATAGTGGTGTTTTTGCTAAGCACTGCAGCTTAATGAAATGATTAGAAAAATATTAGTATTTATTATAAATATAGCTACATGCGGCACTTAAGGGGGCAACCAAAACAGAGGCAAGATGAGGAGCTAAGCATGCACGACAGTAGTATTAATTCTGGCAGCCATTTTTTATTTAGTATTAAGGTGCGTCCCAAATCGTGTGCTTACGCACTATTCCGTGACGTTTTGCAGTATAATACTGCGAGTAGTGTGTTCACACCGAAAACTCCAAAAAGAAAAAGAGCACTTTAAATACCCAGATGATGCACTTAAATAGCTGAAAAAATGAAGTTTGGGATGTTAGACACTTCATGCACTCAACTGTCACAGCTTTAATTACGTAGCGAAGGCGGGGGGGGCCTGTTTTTGTTTAGTCAAGTTTTAGTCAACGAAATGCCGTGAGCATTTTAGTCCAGTTTTAGTCAATAATCCGTCACATTTTCGTCATGCTGTATAATGGTTAAACTGATAAAAAAAATAATAATTTAATTTGCTCATAATTGTAATCGTAATGATAGTTGTCATTTGAGAAATTTACTTTTGCATTTCAGGTATTGCACTTTAACCAGTAAGCACAAATCAATAGAATGTCAGCTCAGACACATGGTTTATTTTACCTCATCTACTGATTTTTTATAGGCTATTTATTATATAAATTAATATCAAAGACTTATGCAATCTCTCTGTCTACATTATGAAAACTGGTAAAACAAGCGACAAATATTATCCTAATAGTAATTCCCATAATTCCAAATTGCAATAGCCGATGTTTTTCTATTAAAACAACAGCGGTTGAGTAAGCGCATCTATTCAGCGATCACAATCGCAAACAATTTAGTTGAGATCTCATGACAGAACACAGACACCGGCTGAGTCACGTTTTCATTTAGATCGCTACATCAGCATTTTTTTAACATTTCATTATAATTTTTGACCACAAGGTGGCGCTGGCCTGAAACTTTGAGAACCTTCAGGGCATGGTGGCAATGACATACATAGTTTTGTAATGACACACCAATGCATTTGTAGCATTTTATGTCAAAGTTTAAAATGGCTCAACATGGATCAAAACAATTGGATACCATTCGACTCTGCATGTTGCTCCAAATATAAAGAGACCAGTTCATCTGGAGGTCATTTCGTAGGGCTCTGGCAGTACTCATCCTGTTCTCCTTGCACAAAGGAGCAGATAGCGGTCCTGCTGATGGGTTAAGCACCTTATACGGCCCTGTCCAGCTCTCCTAGAGTAACTGCCTGTCTCCGGGAATCTCCTCCATGCTCGAGACTGTGCTGGGAGACACAGCAAACCTTCTGGCAATGGCACGTATTAATGCCATCCTGGAGGAGTTGGACTGCCTGTGCAACCTCTGTAGGGTCCAGGTATCGCCTCATGCTACCAGTAGTGACACTGACCCTAGCCAAATGCAAAACTAGTGGAAAACAGTCAGAAAAGATGAGTAGGGAAAAATATCAGTGGCCTCCACTTGTAAAACCATTCCTGTTTTGGGGGTCGTCTCATTGTTGCCCATCTAGTGCACCTGTTGTTAATTTAATTAACACCAAAGCAGCTGAATCTGATTAACAACCCCCTCTGCTACTTAACTGACCAGATCAATATCCCTGGAGTTTAATTGACTTGATGCTATACTCTGTGTATATAAAAAAAGGTCCTGCTGATGGGTTAAGGACCTTCTATGGCCCTGTCCAGCTCTCCCAGAGTAACTGCCTGTCTCCTGGAAACTCCTCCATGCTCTCGAGACAAAGCAAACCTTCTGGCAATGGCACGTATTGATGTGCCATCCTGGAGGAGTTGGACTGCCTGTGCAACCTCTGTAGGGTCCAGGTATCGCCTCATGCTACCAGTAGTGACACTGACCCTAGCCAAATGCAAAACTAGTGGAAAACAGTCAGAAAAGATGAGTAGGGAAAAATATCAGTGGCCTCCACTTGTAAAACCATTCCTGTTTTGGGGGTCGTCTCATTGTTGCCCATCTAGTGCACCTGTTGTTAATTTCATTAACACCAAAGCAGCTGAATCTGATTAACAACCCCCTTTGCTACTTAACTGACCAGATCAATATCCCTGGAGTTTAATTGACTTGATGCTATACTCTGTATATAAAAAATAAAAAAAAGTGTTCCTTTAATTTTTTTGAGCAGTGTA